GAAAAAGGCACCTCAAGTGTAGAGTATATCCAGTAACCAATAATGCATGCAATGGACATTCTCCCTATTAACAATCAACAAAATAAAATGAAAAAAACAAAACACCAAAAAGATTCATCTGTAAACAGTCACGTAGGTATGAAAACTTGGTAGGTAAAAGTGCAAAAACAAGACACTTTTAAAGCATTTTTCTATTTCAGTGCATACTTGTCTTGCACCACAATATTAGCATTATAGTCCTGCAGGAGCAGACAGATGAGTGATGGGTGTCATTTCAGGACACTCCTGTGGGCAAGTGATGACAGATGGGTAGAGCAGTGATCTGGGAGCTGAGAGGACAAAAGATATAGAGCAGGACAAAGACACCAAAGGCCATGCAGGATTAGTATTGTAGTGAAACTGCTTCGAAAAAAGCAAAAAAAAAACAAACAAAAAAAACATACACACACACACACACACAAATATAAACAGAATTCTAAGATTTCTGATAGATTTCTGACTTAACGTGATAATACCTGTGCTCCCAGCCTGGAGAGGTACCTGTTACGCAAGCCAAAAGCAGACATAGGTGCCAGTCTAGCATGCTCACCGTGCGCCACCATACTGGGTTGCATTTTAGTCCTGCAGGAATAATAATGTGGGCAAAATAAACTTCCTTTCAGCCACATTGATATAAGCATCACACTGAAAACTGAGCAAAGGAAAAGTAGCAGGAAATGCATGATAGCAGACAGAGATGCTGCAGCAATAAGAAATTAATTCAGCTGTTTCAAAAAATACTTGTAATTTATTATAAGGCCATAGTTGTTTGCAATTTTCATTCTTTCAAACATATAATAATCAGTATAAGTGCAATCATTTAAACAAATCAAGTTTATACAGCTATGTTTAATACAAATATGTTCCAAAAAGAACATTTTCACAACTGTAAAAAGTGCATCATATAAGAGCATTTAGTTTCTGAATCATGATTGGTCATCCTTCTAATGTTTACTCTGAAATATATAGTTTTTATCCTTTAGTCCAACTTTTACTTGTAGAATTATGCTATTGGAGTGGTATAAACCAGTGATTGAGCCCTATGTCCTCCAACTTTTAGATGCGTCTCTGCTTCAACACACCTGACTCCAGTGTGAGCTTATTAGCAGGGCCCTGCAGAGCTTGACTGTATGTTAACGAGGTAGTTCAGCCATTTCATTTAGACTTGAAGGGCCACCTAAAAGTTGCAGGACACTGGACCTTAAGGAGTTTTAGAAGACTGGTTTAAGAACTTTATACATTTCCTTTCATATTAGTTTTTTTTTTTACTTCTTTAAAACTTTGATTGTAAACTCATTTAGTAAACTGTGATTTATTGAGCAAAATCTTTACTCTGAGAAGCAAAGAAAGGTGCATTAGTCCTACAGACCTTTAAATTTTAAAAGAAAATTGAAGCATTCTTTTTTAAAAGAAAATTATATCTAAAACCTATTTATGGTTCACCATTTTTATTTTGCTAATTTCAAACAGTTTATGATAAATGTTGTCATAATTGCATTTGTGTATTTCTATATTTATGTATTGCTTTTACAATTTTTGTGGTAAAATTTATTTGCTTGATCATTTCAAGTGATTACTTTTGGTCCAGGCATCAGTTTTTAACCTCTATAAAGCATGTGGTCCCGCTTTCTTTTTGAAACTTGTTAAGAAGAGTTTAAATGAGCCCCACTGCCCCATCAGCTGCTAACCTCCCTAAATTAAAACACAAATTTCGGAAGAAAAAAAAAAAAAGGTCACCAAAATACATGCACTTATTGTGTGGAAACGTGGTGCTTATATTTAAAAAACCCATGTTTTAAAATTACAGTTTGAGAGCTTTAGGTGCCATGTCGGTTAAGGAAGCATGGTGCATACTTAAAAAAATATCAGCTTGTTATATCTTTGCAACTCTGCAGCTAAAAAGCTGTAAAATATTTTGATATTTACACAAAACAAACCTATAAAATGAGCACATATTTAGGTAATGTTTTCTGCATCAAAATAAAGGGCAATTGTTACAGGTAACAGTATCACTGCAGTGAATGTGTGAGACAGAAATAATTAGTTATTCTTCTTCAAATAATTAGGTCATTATATACACGTTTTCTTTAACTTAAAAATGTGTTTATTTTCCGATACAGTAATAATCTTATATCATCTTATAATTAGTGCAATGCAGATAAAAAGCATATGGGGCTAATCTCCAACTACATAACTAGAATTCCAATTGTTACAGCTTGAAGGCTTTGTTCAAATGAAGCATGGAACAGTTTTGAAAAGTGCTTTGATAAAAGTTAATTACCGGAATTTAATAAACCATAAAAAGAACTATAAAACATTTACACCTTTTATAAACGATTTAAATAATTTTAAAATGTCATATTCAGGATTATGTTTATAAATGCTAAAACTAAGTGCCACTTTACAGTTAAATGGATTCATAAGTGGATTATCTTTCATTATTCGATGATTCAACAGAAAATTAACGCTTATGAACTTTATAGCTCATTGGATGTGCTTTCTTCGTCCTCTGGCATGGGAGCTGCCTTGGAGCTCGTCTGCCTGGCTGTGTGTTTCCTGGACGGGGCCGCCTTTTACAGCTGCTTTTTGTATCTCTGCTTCTGTCTCCTTGAACCCCAGTCGGCCTCGGCAGATGGCCGCTCACACTGAGCCTGGTTCTGCTGGAGGTTTCTTCCTGTTAAAAGGGAGTTTTTCCTCTCCACTGTCGCTACAAGCATGCTTAGTGTGGGGGATTGTATTTGAGTCAATGAGTCAATGCAATCAACTGGTTTTCCTTAGATAGAAAACTTTGTATCAATTTGATCTGGTTGAACTGTAAAGTGCCTTGAGATGACATGTGTTGTGAATTTGGCGCTATATAAATAAACTGAATTGAATTGAATTGAATTGAAAAGCCATTTAAAAGTTTAGGAAATAAAATAACTGAGCAATAAAGCTTAAAAAGTACCGCCTATGCTCTATAGGAGATTATCTGTTGAAGAGTAATGATGTATCAGATTTAGTTTGATGAAGAAAATAAGTAAAATAAAACTATTATGGAAATTTGACTTGGCAGTGATAATGTTGACATAAGTCAAACAAGTCCCTTTGAAAACAGTAATACACACAAAGTTGACCTATACTGAAATTGAGCTGAGAAGAAAAGTGCTAAAAACCCTTTAGACTTCATTCTTCCAGACAGTTATAAAAACTTGAAGCATATTTGCACTTTAGAAACTTCATGCTGCATATAAGAGATTACTTGTGAGTAAGAGCAGGTAGAAATCATGTCAGTAGAGGAGTAGTTATGTTCAAACAAAGATTTGTCATTTCTAAGTGTCCTTATGTCAAAACAGGTTAAAGCAATAGTCAATTCCAGACAGTCAGTTCAGGTTTCGAAGAGCCACAGATGACATCACTGGGCAGAGCCAGAACCGCAGTCGTGCCCCATTGGCCGTAGACTGAAAGCTCTGGGGTGGACAGTGCAGTCTGTTTTTCTGACGCCCAGGACCATGTGTGTTCGCTCACCACCATCATCATCTGGAAAATATCAGTCACAGCATGAATCAGAAGGTAAAAGTCAGCCTCTGGAAGTCTGATGTCAGACACGCAATAAAATTCTGGTTAGACACATTGGATTAAAAAAATAAAAAATAGGGGATAGTACTAAGGAATAAATTAATACACCCAGAATTGCTGGTTATTATTTTCATGCAATGAATGAAAATTAGTCATGGTAACCTTTTAGAGCATACATTGGGTGGTTAACAGTGGCATGCATCACGTATTGTATGAAAATCTAAGAAACCTCAAAATTAGCAGCTTAGTCAGAGACAAACAACAACAACAACAAAAAGAGCCTGATCTTTACACCTTCCAAATAAGGGATGCTAAATTGTATGTGCAAAAAAAATGCACAAAATAAAACGATAAAAAATTTTGTAAAATAAATCTAAAACTCAAACAAAACCCTTGAGAAAGCTGTCCTTGTCTGCAGATTGACCCCACCGCAATCCCACCCCTGTCCAAAAAGCAGCTGCAGCCAATGAACAGCAGATTCATATCTAAACAGCTGGATTTACCTCCACCACCTCCTCTTAATAGCAGCTTGACCAAATCTACTGCAAAACAAAGTAGGTCCAGGACAATTTATAAAACATAGCTTTTGATTCTTGCCACGAGTAACAGATGCCCACTTTGAAAGTGCATAGTTATGATGCATTAAGCCCATAAATCAAGATTATTTTCCAAATAATTATTGTTCTAACTGGGATGACTTGATAGGGAATCAATTAGATGTTACTTAGGAAGAGGCACAAGCAAGTAAAAAGCTTAACTCTATTGGTTCATTACCATTAAGACAATCTATGCAAAAAGCCTAATCAATAGAGTTAAGCTTTTTACTTGCTTATGCCTATATATGTAAATGAATATGGATGCAATAAAATAAGACATTACATCTTAGAATTGCATCTGATTGACAGTTTACCTATCGCTGAGGTTATGCACAGAGCAGTGTCCTTCAATAAGATTCAACTTGGCCGATTTTTAAATCTGGCTCATTAATCGACAAGAATACAAATGCTGCAAAAAGCAAAAGGAAACTTTTAAAACGCAATGATTCTGCTTCTCACACGCTGAGCTGCTTGGTGTCACCTCTCTGGTAACAGAGAATATTTAGCTCTCTCTGCATCGCCCCTCCCTGCAAATACACACTCACAACTGCTGCTAGCGTAGGCATGGAGTTGGACGGGGAGGCAGAAGGTGAGCAGTTTACTCCATGGTAAGCTGTGACAAACATCCTCATGAAAACATGCTGTTAGGGGCACATTAAGGAGAGCAGACGAGTTTTATATGCACTAGTTTTGGTGAGCATATTAGTGTTTTAGCTCTGTGAAAGTTTCAACTCTTTGTGAAATATACATAGTTTTAGAAGGAAAATATTATATTCCGTCCTTCTACACTTCATGCTCACTTAGCAGTTCATGTTTTCATTATATCAGTTTTTAAAAGGCTATAACGTATGTATTTAGTTGTAACCCTGTTTGGATTTCTTAGAAACTGCAGCATTTCTACTTAAATCTAGTTTATTCCCTTGTGTTCAGTGGAGGAGGCAACTTTTCACTTGCTTGCAAATATGACAAATTTTGATTTCTGAGGTGTTTTTGTGAATGAGTGTTTTAAAAATGAATCGGATACAAAGCACCTCCCATTAGCAAGTGTGTTATCACCCAAGCTGTATGCAGCTAGTTGTTTCCATTTTTAAATGCTGCAGAAGTGTAATCTAATTACTGCAATACACTAAAAGTGTATATATATGAATTTCTCAGGCAGAGGGGAACAATCAGGTGTCGAGCCACTCCATGTAGTATATTATAGGGGCACATTGTTATACCATTCCCTTTAAAGTATTAACCACTGTCAAAAAACATAAGGATTGAAGTGTTTGAAACAATAATTGTGTAGGATCCAAGTTGAACATAACCACAGCACTGGTTTAGACATTAAAATCCCCATGAAAAATATTGTTTTAATAAAACTTTAAAAGTTTTTGGTTTCTTTTTGTAAAAATTGTATAGCTATTAATGATGTATTGAAAAATGACTAAAACAAGGTATTTGTATTTCCTTTAGAGACCAACAAAATGTCTCATGACTCAACATCTTTAACACATCAGTAATGATATGACTTCACTTCATACCAAAGGGGTCGAATGAATCAGCTTTCAAAAGCACAGGGTGTGTAAGGAAACCTGTTTGCCACAAGATCCTTTACATCCCCAAATCTTCACCAAAATGCCAGCAGGAGGTAACTAACACCTGACAAATAACATTATTAGTGATAAATTGAGGATGGAAATTTAATGGACCTTATGGAAACAAGCTGTTTGTGTCTGGTTTAAGAAAAAATAAAAGATATAAGGCCATGAGCATTGACATTTGTAATAAACATGCAGGATGGCTATTAGCGGGTATGCAATAACAGCCACCTAAAAGCACAATAAAGTCTAATGAGCCAACCAGTTCAATACACCATTTATAAAGGGGCGTTAAAACGTACTTCTGAGGCTTGTAAAAATGCTACTGTTCACTCAATAATCCTAAAGGTGTTATGTGACTCATGCATTAGGGGTTTTTGTATGAATTTGCACTTTCGAATAATCAATCAATTGTCATGAAAAGATTGGTAAATCAGTTGTAGCAATCACAGAGATTGCAAAACTTTTAAATTATACTCTAATAAAATAGATCTAACTGAACTTCCTAAGTGCTCTTATGAAGCTGGTTGGTCATCTGTCTCTAAACCAGTATAGGTTAGTCCTTCAGTTTAAACAGTAGTTATGTGGATGGGAGAGGTGGAAGATTAAAGGAAAATTCCGGTTTTTAACACTTTTAGCCCATTTTCTGTAGTGTCCAGGATGAAATCGAATGATCAACACCAAAATTTTGACAACTGGTCCTGTCTCTGCTATTTGGCTCATGCAGAATCCCCCCCCCTGACTGCTTCAGAATGGCTTCCATAGTGCATGTCCGATAATGTCCTTAAAACAACCTTAAACGTTCTTTTTTTTAAATATGCTACTCACCGGGTCGTCAGCGCTGTTCAATGACGTTCCAAAAAAAGTTTCGTAAAGAAAAAACGTTCCTGTAGTGTTTTATTTAGCATTTTGTAAATCCTATTGAGTTCTGTTGGAATAGTCAATATCCCTCCGCCACCGGAAACGGAAATGGGGCCTGTTTACACTTAGTTGTAGTCTTTTCGCAAGGCCCAAGTGTTTCTGCTTCACTCTGTGTACTCCGACGTCGAGGTGCTAACGTCTCTGTTAAACACTTTAAAAAACTCTGAAAATGGAATACGAAAGGTGGATTCTTGAGGAGGACATATTGGACTTTGAGTTTGACGGTAGAGGATACCGTCGCCAACTAGTGGTCTGGAGTGTGCAACGCTTCAGATTCGAACGGGAAGCGGAAGTTTATAAGCGGTTGTGATGTATCGGAAAAAATAGTTCTGGGATTTACAAAATGCTAAATAAAACAAGACAGGAACGGTTTTTCTTAACGAAACTTTTTTTGGAACGTCATTGAACAGTGCTGACGACCCGGTGAGTAGCATATTTTAAAAAAAGAAAGTTTAAGGTTGTTTTAAGGACATTATCGGACATGCACAATGGAAGCCATTCTGAAGCAGCCAGGGGGGGATTCTGCATGAGCCAAATAGCAGAGACAGGACCAATCGTCAAAATTTTGGTGTCGATCATTCGATTTCATCCTGGACACTACAGAAAATGGGCTAAAAGTGTTAAAAACCGGAATTTTCCTTTAAGGCTACTCACTCTGCATTTGTAGAGGTCTCCTTCTGTAGTTTAGCTCTGGCTGCAGCTGACTGGTTCAAACCTCCACCTGGGGACAAATAGAGCAAGACGCCGAGATGTGGAGAGGTAATGAGTAAAGTTATAAATTTGAAAGAATCTGATTCACTTTCTCTCTCCTCTGTGTTGCTGAGCAGTGCTGCAGAGGGCAAACATTTAGTTTATTTGCCTTCACAGGTTAATGATTTTGTTGATGGGGTTGCTAGTTCTCTGCGTACTGCCTTAGACAATGCAGCCCCTTTGAGAAAGAAAAACTTAAAAAATAGAAACCTGGCTCCCTAGTTTAATGCAGAGCTGCACTCTGAAGCAAAATGCTAGGAAACTGGAGAGAAAAAATTGCACTCCACATGCCTACGGAAATCCTATCCGGTCTGGAAAAATAGTTTACTGCTGTATAAGAGGACCCTTCGTAAAGCAAGAGCAGCATATTTCTCCTCATTAATAGAGGACAATAAAAATAATCTTTTTGATACAGTTGCCAAACTCACCCAGAGCCATAGCTCTGTTGAATTGTCCATCTCACCTGCTCTTAGTCAGCTCCGGTGAAAGTCGCTAATGATATTCTCATGGCCTCAGAAAATGCACATGTATCTGTACTTGTCCTGTTAGATCTCAGTGCAGCATTTTATACAGTTGATCATCATATTCTTTTTGAAAGACTTGAATATTTTGTAAGAAAGGAAGAGCAATAGACTGGGTTGAATCTTATCTATCTGATCGATTTCAGTTTGTTCACGTTAATGAGTACCACAGGGATCAGTGCTAGGACCAATTCTCTTTATCATATATATATATATGTTCCCAATCTGTAGAATTATTAGACAGCATGGGATTAATTTACAGTGCTATTCTGATGATAATCAGCTATATCTGTCTATAAAACCAGATGAAGCTAACCCATTACATAGATTACAGGCATGTCTTAAAAACATAAAAACCTGGATGACGCTTAACTTTTTACTCCTGAATGCAGAAAAAAAGGAAGTTATATTCTTTGGACCAGAGTCTTGGAAAAAAAGCTGATTAGTCAGTCACTTCATTTAGATGGGATTAAACTGATCTCAGATAATAAAGTAAAAAATCTTGGTGTTGTTTTTGATCAGGACCTGTCATTTAAATCCCATATCGAAGAGGTTTCTAGAATTTCCTCCTTTCATCTGAGGAATACTGCAAAAACATTAAAATATCCTGTGCAGTGATGCTGAGAAACTAGTCCATGCATTTGTTACTTCAAGGCTGGACTATTATAATTCTTTACTATCAGGAAGTCCACAAACTGTAGTTAAAAGTCTTCAGCTGATCCAAAATGCTGCAGCCAGAGTTCTGATGAAAATCAAAAAGAGATCATATCTCTCCTATTCTAGCTTCTCTTCATTGGCTTCCTGTTAAATCCAGAATAGAATTTAAAATCCTCCTTCTCACATATAAAGCTTTAAATGGCCAAGCTCCATCTTATATCAGATATCTGATTGTTCCTTATGTTCCTAACAGAGCACTTCACTCTCAATCTGCAGGTTTACTTCATAGAATTTCTAAAAGTAGAATGGGAGGCAGATCTTTTAGTTATCAGGCTCCTCTCCTGTTGATGTGCGCTCTTCATCCTCTGACATGGGAGCTGGCTCGGAACTCGTCTGCCTGGCTGTGGGTTTCCTGGATGGAACCACCTTTTACAGTTGCCTGTTGTATCTCTGCTTCTTTCTGTATGTCTTTTTCTGTCTCCTTAAACCCCAGTCGGCCTCGGCAGATGGCCGCTCACACTGAGCCCTGTTCTGCTGGAGGTTTCTTCCTGTTAAAAGGGAGTTTTTCCTCTCCACTGTCCCTACAAGCATGCTAAGTGTGACGGATTGCCTTTGAGTCAATGAGTCGATGCAATCAACTGCTTTTCCTTAGATAGAAAACTTTGAATCAATTTTACTGTATGATCTGGTGAACTGTAAAGTGCCTTGAGATGACATGTGTTGTGAATTGGCGCTATATAAATAAACTGAATTGAATTGAGTCTAGATCTGTTTGCTGAAAAGTGGCACTGTAAACCGTGGAAATGCCATGTATATAAGGAGAATGAAAAGGCAAAGAGGGAACACCCAAGAGAAAAAGCAAAAACTCTAGGCTTGAAACTACCTTTAAGATAATCCACAAAATAGAGCCCCACCACTGCCATCAGAGCAACTGCAAGACAAGTAAAGAAAAACCATGTAGAGAATAAATAAGGTTTAATGTCCAACTGGAATTTCAACTTAAAAAACAGAACAGATTGAAAAATACTTACTGCAAATACAGGCACAGAAAAACACTTCCAACACCAGGTATCCTCTTACATCCACAATGACTCCTACTATAATCGCAATCACAGCAAGTCCTAGGTTCTGGATGGACTGCATGCTGATAGGTAATTAAAAGAGGAGACTTTGTAAAAACTTAAAAGATACAAATCATATTATTAATCCAACAAAAGAAAAATAGAAAATGTTAAACTAAAAAAGGTACATACAAGCCATAGGCTGTTCCCAGTTGATGTTCAGGCACCACAAAGGCCACCATTGGCCACAAAGCACAGGCTAGTAGGGAGTATGAGACACCAAGCAGGGACTGGAACACCAGAGATGATTTTACATCAGATTAATGACTGACAATTTACATAAAAAAAAAGATAAAATAAAGCAATCACAAAGGAATTTAGCTAAATTCCATCAGTATCTTAATTAATAGTTGGAGAGTAGCTTAATTTTTTCAGACAGAGCACAGCAGGCTAACGATGCATATTAGTGGAGTTTATGAAGCATTTAATTGTGCAGTGTTAAATGTTCAAACAAAAACAACTGAAATCTAAATCTAGAGCTTTGATTAAAGCTTTGTGGTTGATTGCACCTTCAACAATTGGCTTCTACAGGAAGCCAGGAGACTTCCTGCAGAGAAGGTTTTCACAGGTGCATCCCAGTCAGTTAGGATGCCATTAAAAGGTTAAATGCAGTAAGTGTCACACTTGGACTCATTATGCAGGAAATCTTTAACATGTTTTTTGTTTATGATGATGGAATATAGCTTATAAAAAACATTTATTAGATTTTTTCTTAGCAAGTGGTGGCCTTTATCTGAAAGTCAGCTGACATGATAAGGTGTTAAAAGAGAGACAGAGAGGAAAAACATGCGGCAAAGGTCAATTGGCCGAGAGTCAAAAAGCCACTTAGGGGAGACGGGATGGGCCAAGGGCCTAACCTTTATGTCACCTCCACATCGCAAAATGTTTTTTAATACAGAAATATTTGCATATTAACATGTATAACTAAGCACTGTACAGTAAATGCACACTACTTAGTTGGGGCTTCTATAGCTTGAATTATTACTTTAAAACCAAAATTATCACACATCATTATTTTTTCTCAGCCCTAAAATTGTTGGCATAGTATACTAATAGCGATTTTACAGATAACCATACAAGTCAAAAAATAAAAAATTAGTTTAAGCTCAACTTAGACTTTCCTTTTACTCCTGGTCTGAGTCTACTGAGGCAGTTTTAACTTAGTACCAAAGACTGAAAGGAAACCAGTTTGTGAACTACAGACCACAGCTCTGAAAGAGGATATTTTAATGGGATAGGATGCATGTGATAATTAGGCATAGATATCTGTGGATCATGGACAGTTAATGATCCGTAAGAATCTATGCATGTTAGCCAAAGGCCGATATTGACCACACAAATTCCCCTCCAACTGAATGCTTTATTAAATAACTTTTGGATCAAAATGAACCTAACTTGCCTACAAAATTCTGTGGAACTATGTTTGGGGAAAAAAAAAAAATATTATAATACTTGTAAACTTATCTACTGATTTTGGACTAAAAGATTTATTTTAAAGCCATATTCCAAAGTATTTCTTAGCTATATCCTTGTTAATATTTGAACTTGCTATTGTTTGATGTTTAGTGAGTGCAGACTTCCTAATTTTGTAAGAAAATATATAAGCTGATATTGAATTCCATCCCCCTAACAACATGAACTGGCTATAAGATGGCTACTGGTTGGCTCTTTCCAAGTTGATATGGACTTGGACAACCCTCTTTTGCAGTGGACAAGCTTTGAGATGCTTCACTATTATCTGAGCTTTCAACTTTAAAAAGTGATATTTGTGTGATCGGTTGCTCTTTTGTAGAAGAACATTGTGTAAGTCAATCTATCTGCCATTCTAAGGAGAGAAACTTTCTGTTTTGCATTGAAATGTGGGGAGATTTTGGCTAAACAATATTCTCCTTTGCTCATAACAAAAATAAATATACATTTTGGTTCAATAAAGTATTTTTAAGTTAAGCTGAAAAACATCAAGGATCCCCAACACCTATACCAAGAGACCAAATGTCTGTGGCTGACCCACTGAGATCTCCAAGGAGGTTCTAAGAACAACATATCAGTCCAAAACTTAAGAGTTGAAGTGCTGAAAGTATGCTGCAAATGTCTAACTACTGGAAAAAGGGGAGAACGTGGTTCGCCACAGATGGGATCTTTAAGATGTTATTGACTAGTTAGAAACTTTAAGAAAATAATGTTAGCATGGACTGCATCGGTCTTTCCTTTCTAGCCCTAAATCTTTGAGATTGAGGTGGAAAATTAGAAAAGACAAGGAGAATTTTCCAGAAATGATTAAGGGAAGATAAATATCCTTTCAGTGGTCTTATAATAGTCCCATGACCTGTGAGTCATCATCATCAAAATAATCTTTACATTAGATGAAAGATTAGAATAACGACTTGCAACAAATATGCAAATTAAATTTCTTGAAAGAAAAACAAAAATATTAGATATTCTAATTCATTTAGGCCTTTTATGTTGTTTTTTACTGTATTTGTTAAACTAATAAAGTAACAGTCTGTTGCAATGATGTGATAAAATGCCCTCAAAGACTTTTTTTTTAATTTTGATGGTGGTTTATTTGCCTACCCAAAACTGTTTATGTGTGAAAAAACATCTTAGTTTACAGATAAAGAGAAATAGGCTCCAGATTACCATAGCGATCCATGGGTTCCAGAAGGTGAAGGCCAGCATCATGTGAGCGCCAAGTGTTGCGATGACTGCAGCAAAGACCCAACCTACATTCCTCCCAGTCTTATCAACAATAAAGCCGAGAATTGGAGATGCAGGTGCTGAGATGATGTATACGATACTGGAAAAGAATTTTGTTAACAGTTACTTTGAGAAATGAAAATAAACTTGCAATTACGTTAAAAAAATAAAGCATAATGCAAAAAGATTTTTGTTTTGCCATCATTATTGCCTTGTGCAGTAATTTATTTTAATCAATATTTCCACTTAAATAAGGCAAGAATAAAGTCACTGCAACTAAAATATTTTTATCTGAAAATTTAAAACTTATTCAGCAAGCCTGTCATTAAAACTGTTTCCCATTATTCCCTTTCTTTTCACTTTAATGGCAATTCTGATAAGTAAAAATTAATTGTGGTTTAAATTAAGAGTATGACTGAAAAATACAATTTGAGATAAGCCTAGTTTTCTTTCTTTCCTTTTATTTCAATGGCCTAACCTTGACCCTCACCCTAACTCTGACCATTTCCAACACACACCTAACCCTAGACCTAACCTAAACTCAATGTAAACCTTAACCTAACCGCCCCCCAAATAGAGAACCTTTCCTCATTGGACATGTCATTAGTCCCCACAAGTAACTGCAAGTTCAAAAAATTCAGAGGAAGTCCCCACATGGTAACAAAAACATGATCACACACAAACATCTGTAAATGAAATATATATCTATTTTGGAAAAATATGTTATTCACCTGTTAACGGCTCTGGCTTGAGCTGGAGAGAAGTTGAACTTTTCAATAAAGAAAACCCTGAAAAACGAAGGATGATGTGATAAGACTTGCAATAAAAGCCTTCCTACATGTTTTATAGTTATATAAACACAAAGTTAGAATAAAGTAATTACATTTTCAATGACAATAAATTTTCTCCCATATATTACATTCTCTCTTCATTCGCAGGAGAGCCATTTGCTGCATAAGTATAAAATGTCTGCGGTGAAAACCATAGCTGCTGACAACTCATTTTTGTGCCTTTTAACTGAGGGCAAACTATTAAACTAAACTATAACTACTAAACTACGCCAAACTTATTATCAGCTTTTGCCTGTCCTTGTGGTGTAACTGAGTTCGTTTTTGATTTCTAAGGCCAACAAATTAATAAAAAAAACAAGTTTTCTCAAAACTGCAACCATTTGTGTGTTTCAAAGACCAAAATAGAAAAATATTGATTTATAAAGAAAGAAAAAAAAGACAACAGATATCAAGTGTTGTTTTTGCTGTTAAGTCTGTCTATTGACCAACATCATGATGGCATTAATACTACACCACTGTAAAATAAAAGTGCAGACTAATTTTTTATCTTGTAAACGTACAACTAAGGCAAAGCAATTATTCACATTTTTCCTTCAAATTTAATTTGGGGTTGAAAAGGTTGCAAGATAAAACAGCTTTGAATATATATTAGCAACATGTATAACCAAGGTGGAAACCATCAGACTGGCTGATGCAAAGAGAAAAACTCTGGATGTAGAGTCCACTAATAAATTACTTTGAATTTTTTTGTTAAAAGCAATTCCTCATACCCAACAATAAAGTTTTGTGAAAGTATACTGTGTAAATGAACAAACTATATCTATACATTTTGTCTGGAATTGGGTTGGTTTACATTAAAAACTGTTACACAAAATTAAAAGACAACATTAAAAATCAACATGAGACAAATCATCATAATTACCAAGAATGGATAAAGGCATTCATGTAATATCTTGTTTATATCATGTCAAACTAGAAAAGCACTAGACCTTCTGTGACCTACTGTACACCTAGAGCTAAAACTCACACATCTGGATCATGACTGTCTAAGGCTGAACCTGTAAAGAGTCACTGCTGCCACCCTCTGGTATAAGAGGGAACTGCTTATTTCCTCAATAAATTCATATCTCGCAATGTTTAAGTATCTTGTATCTGTATTATGATCTCGATCATCACCAAAATGTAATTAACTGTTCCTTGGCATGAGGCGCATCTCTGGTACAAATTTAATCAAAATCTGTTCTTTAATTTTCAAGTTATTCTGTACACAGACAGAAAGACAAAAAGAAAAAAAACTATCCTAAAACATAAGCTCCCTGGCAGAGGTAAGTAATGAAGCACTAATAAGAAAAACTTTATTATAGTTGATGCTAGGGAAAAAATATAGTGTTTGTGTATCTTAGAGAGAAAAGATGTATAATACTTACTGGCCTTGTCCAATAAATGGGAAAATGGCAACATAGTAAAATACACAAATGATGAAGATGAGCCACAGGGCTAGGGAGAAATCTTTCACATCAGTCAGCTTTATAACCTCGCCTGAAACAGAAGATCAATATGTATATTAGTTACAAAATGTAATTTTATTGCAACAGAGAAAGCCTACATAAAGGCTTTATTCAAATGCACAATTACGCAAAACCCTGGATCTATCTGGCTTTTTTTCAGGAAAGAATAAATAAGCAGATCACAACATAGACAATAGATCAATACTAATCAGTTCAGTTCAAAACTTGAAGCAGTCAGGGACAGCTTGTAGTTAAGGAGGAGCAAAGATAAGACAGAACAACATTATCAGAGCTTTACCAGTTTTCCCCTGTTCCTTGTGGAGGATCCTCTCTGCTCTTTTATCCAAAAATGCCAGCACCAAGGCACATAGTAGAGAAAAGACACAGGTTCCAGCAGCTAAAAGGAAAGAAGAAGTAAATCAAAAAGGGATTCAACATGAAATATTTACTTTGGTTTGGTGCATTTACTGACAACTGGCTGATGATCAGATTATCCTATTAAACTTAAACAATCAGTGGGAAACAACCCAAATCACTTTAAAATGAGCAAGATGAACTTCTACATGGGGGAAAGGTTAAGAGAACTGACACTTTTTACATTCCCATGAACATCCGAGATGCCAAGAAGCACTTTTAGTTCCCTTTCCTACTTCTCTCTGCGTTTGCTTGGCTGTAACCTGAGAACTGCATAGATTGGCCCAGTAAGTCAGGCACATCGTGTAATAAAGCATGTGTAACCAGAGGCTCACTTTAAACTCTTTCTTCTACTCAAGCAAAGCAGGGTGTTTATGCATAAAGTGCATTACCAACCAATCATGAGTGATATTCCAAGTGTGGTGTATCCAGGGGAGCCAACAGCAACTGCGACTTTGCTATACACCCAACCCATGATGTTCATGTTCACTGTGCTGCCCTACAGAAAGAGAAAGCACGTCTGAGCTTTTACAAATTTACACCTTCGGTAGCTGGCAAGAGATTCACACATTTAATCTGTATGACTTTACACCACGACTTTAAATACATTTAATCAGCATGTGATAAGTGAAAACACATTTGTAGGCTGCCACTTAGAAAAATCTGACATACTGGCATGCATTCAGCCCCATTTACTTTGAAATCCCCTAATTAAAACACAGCAAAAACTGGCCTTTATGGAAGAAGTTGTTGAAAGAATGCCATCTTATTTGCGGTTAGAGAGAAACAATGCAGGGGAGACAAAAAAATCTGGGAGACGTTATTCTGTTTGGAGGGAAGATCATTTAACTTTGCAGCTTACAAACAAAAATCTATATGTGTAAAATTAAGACTACGTCAGACTGAATGCAACACTGCTACAGTCAAACATCGTAGTGGCAAAATAAGGTGGGGACGCTTTTTATAATGGTCGACAGAAAGATGGAAGGGAGCCACAACAAAAATGACTGAAAGCTGCAAAAAAAGAATGTGACTAAAACTTTTTGTCTCAGAAATGTTCTTTTGTCAAAATCAAGACTTCAAAAGAATATTCATAGCAACTGTATGTTCAGAGATGCTCTCCATTCAATCTGACCACATTTCAGCGGTTTTGCATAGAAAAATGTGGAAACGGTATGTGTTGCACAGTCGGTAGAATCAAACTCCAAAAGACAGCTGAGTGGCTGTCAGAAATGATTGATTCATTGAGGCTGAATACAGCAGCAAATATTTCAGAATTTCATTTTTGAATTTCTTTCGAGAACCATGAATCATTTTCCTTTTATCTTCCAGATTTTGTGCTACCTTTTCACCAATACAGTACAGCTTATTTTCTGATTGAACCAAATGTGAAAAACAATAAATGATCCCTATAGATGTACATCTTCTCTGTTGGTGCCCATACCAATCGAGCCATGCTGAGCTGAAGGCCAAACACAAGGTTCAGCTCTTTGCCTTTGAACCAGTTCACTGCATACGTGTTCTGGGCCACAGCTAGCGACTCTCCCCCAATACTGTCAATGAAAACAGATAAATAAAACACATAAGCTCTGTTAAAGATAAAGACATGTATAAATTTGGTGTAAATAACTAAAATAGAAATAATTTTGGCAATTTAAGATTAGGGGAACTTCAGATTTTAAGGGAGTTAAGGTTTATGCTGTCAATTAGTGTGGCAGATATGTAAAAAAACTGTCTGAGTAAAAAGGAGTTTGAGAAGTTAAATGTTTTACCCAAATACAAAACGCCCGACTTCCATCAGCCAAAAATGATTGGACCATGCTCCCGCTGCAAATATTACCTGTAATGACGGAGAAAAAAAAAAGCACGTTTTGCACAAAAAAAAATAATAATAAAAAAAATCTACTACATTTTTTATCTAGAGCTCAACACAAACCAACCTGTCCAATGCAGACAAAAAGGGAAAATATGATGGTTCCAAGCCTGTAAAAACAAGAAGGAAAATTAAAACTGAAACAATATGGTAACATTTTTTTGTACTTCCTACATGTTGAGAATTCAAGATGAGAATTCAGAACAAAATGGCTGCAATTTGGGCCTCTGTTATACCTGATGCCAAAAACCCTGTCAATCAGAAATCCTCCCAAGAAGCAGAGAACCACATTTGGCCAGGAGTACCAGGCATACAGCTGCATGAAACTCGCAGTGTTCAGGTTCAAATCCTGAAAACAGAAATAAGGAAAAACTGTTTCTTATTGAAAAGAAAAAAAAAACTTGAAATAAAAGGCATTTTTCTTCTAAGCTAGGGACACATTGGAAGACTTTCACAGTTGTCACAGATCTTTTTTCCCCGCGTCAGCTGAAGCTACCTGAACGCCTCAAATTGTGATAAAAAATAGTAAAGCAATTTAAAATGTCATTTTGACCCACAATCATACATTTTAGGTAGGGCTGGACAATAAATTGCATTTCCAATATAATCACAATTTAACCTAATGCAATCACATTACATTTAACAAAAATAAGACAGTAAATGTGTCACTGAAGCCCTTAGGTGGCAGTAATATATTTAGAGTGGGTTTTGCCACCACACCAAAAATAAACTAAAGAGAATTAAGGCTAGCACGCAGAACCGTGCATGCAAATGGAAGAAAACACTTTTTCAAACAAAGGTTACAGTACAGTCCTGCAACAATGGACTCTGGACAAGCAAACTTGCAAGACAATAAAAAAACTGAAACCCTAAAAAAGGAAACATCTACCTCGATTGCAAACCTTTATAAAAATATTTGCAGTTTAGATTTTGTGCCAAAATTGTTCAGCCCTTATTTCAGGTTGTGAGTTTGTTGGATTTCAAAGGATTGATAACAGTCTCTTACCTCTGTTCTTACTTATAAAACGTTTTGGACTGGATGGGACAAATAAATGCAATGATGCAAGATATTTATATATATATATATATATATATATATATATATATATATATATATATATATATATATATATATATATATATATATTTTTTTTTTTTTTTTTTTTTTATATATATATATATTTGAGTATAGATCTGCTGCTTTTTACCTGTTTCTATCACTCTCTGATTGTATTATTTGAAGTGATAGTTTCTAAAATTATCTACGTAACAGGAGTAGGGCCACTGAAAATTTTTTTAAAAAGTTAACCGATTAAAAATATTAAAAATATGACTTTTTTTCTCAGACTTCTGACTTTTTTCTCAGAGTTCTGAATTTTTTCTCAGAGTTCAAACTTTTTTTTTTCTCAGAGTTCTGACTTTTTTGCACAGAATAATGAGATTAAAGTCAGACATTTTAATCTCAGAATGTTGGATCTTAATGTAGATGGGCACCATGAAGGAAGATATGTGTGAGCACTCAGCTTCACTGACATAGATGTGAGTTGATTGGAGGGGCCAGTAACACATTGGTGGAAAATGACGGAATTAGGCGACTTTTAACGTGTCCGAGGGGTCCCCAGCGAGCTTAATGGAGGAGCAGAAGGTGATTAAAACAAGAGAGCTAGTCTCTAACACAGACATGTTAATGTCTGTTAGCTGTCAGAAATCAGTCAGAATTCTGAGATTAAAGTCAGAATTCTGATATTAAAGTGTGCATTCTGATATTAAAGTGTGCATTCTGATATTAAAGTGTGCATTCTGATATTAAAGTGTGCATTCTGAGATTAAAGTCCGAATTCTGAGATTAAAGTTAGAATTCTGAGAAAACACATTCGGAATTCTGACCTTTTTCTCATATTATACAAAAATAAAATTTAAAAATCAGTTAACTTTTTACATTTTTTCTGTGGCCCTAATCATCTTCCTTAATTAGCAGTGCTGTTTTCTGTTTTTTTAGTTTTGTTGTATAGTTACAAACCGTGATCAGTTCACACTACTTAACTATAGAAACCAAATCAACTACAGCATGAGGACTTTTCAGAGCGAATGGGAATCGGAGGTAATCTGGTAAAACTTGCTGTATATTCCTCCATCCCTCAGATTAAACATGGAGGTGAGCTAAAGCCTCTCTGTAGAAACAATGAAGGTATTTTGACAGTTCAGATCGGACAGCTTCATTACTACTGTAATATTTAAGTAGCAAAGAAAAGAAAATATGCAGTATGTTTGCTATGGAAGGAAAACTGACATTTCTCTACAATATCCAAGTTTGACATCAGGAGTTACCTGAATAACTTGGGTTTGGAGAGCAGCTGGATTATCATAACAGAAGTAGCTTCCTGGAATAAAAGATTGACATGAAAAACAGCTGAATTGCAAACCCCTCTCAACTATTTACATTCTTTGTTTTCATCTCAAATATCATAAAGCGCTGTCTGGGACGCAGCTCACCGAATCCCAGGAAGCACATAAACACCAGAACCACCACCCGGTGGAGGAGGTGGCTGGGGTCGCAGATAGCAGCCATCGGTCTGCTGGCTCCGCCGGCTCCCTGTCCACCTGCGGCCGGACATTCATTCTCGTCTCCTAATAAACCCCGGCGCTCCTCAAAATCCGCCATGTTTAGCTTCTGGCTTCCCACAATAAACAGCCGAACGGAAGAAGATCATATGACCCAACCAGAGATGTCACGTGGCAGAGGATTCCTTTGGCGCGTGGACGAGGCGGGCTGTCGCGCGAGCGCGCATTGAAACGAAAGCGGATTGATACATTAGTCTGAAATATTTGCATTAGAAAGACAAAATAAAATTAACATCAATAATAGTATTTCATTGAGTTTTTTTTCCCTCTTTTTTCATTTTTAAGCAGGAGAGTCAGTGTGTGTTGACCATCCTGGCACTGCAGCAAGGTTTTATGGATTTTTGTTAGATTATTCTGGATCAGTTCTGAGATCTAGACGACCCCAATCTATTTTTCATTCCTTAGATTTTTTATTTACACGGGTATGTTTCGAGTTCTATTTAAATTGTAGTGCTCTTTGCAACTTTATGAATATCAGAGCTGTTGTCTGGAATGTTATTATAAAACAAAACTAGACCAAGACAGTATAATGACTGGTGACGTAAATAGGGCTCGGGATCCACGTTGCATTGTGGGACGTGGCGGCCATATTGATGGCTACGCGAACGTAAACATAGCTCTGATACAACGTTGTTGTTGAAAGTTGTGCATGCGTGTACATAGTTGTTTGTATATGCATTGCCCTGCTGGGCGGGCGATTGGTGTTCAGAGGCGTAGCCAGAAAATCTTTATAAGGGTGCCCAGGCAATAACCAATGTACACTGAGGGTTGGATGATTGTGGACCGGTACCAGAACCTCAGAGTCAATCTACCCTGTTCCAACAAGTAAATTAAAGAGCAAAACGTCCATGTTTTCTAAACAAAGACGAAATATCCTTTCCTACAGCCTTTGTTAAAAAATAGATGCATATATTGAAACATCTTCCTAGATAAAATGTATAGTGGATACAATTCTTTCAGGTTTGAGTTCTGGGGTGCAGGGCCGGCGATTGCTACAGGCAAGCTAGGCAATTGCCTAGGGCGACAAATGTGTTGGGGGCGCCCTCTATATTTAGCGTCGCCCTTAGGCTTACTTCCCATTAATCATAGAATTAGAAAAAAAAGCGAATTAAACCGGTTATGAAGCGTCCGTCAGTTTGACTTAACCTTACGTATATATAAATAGCAAAATATGAACAAATAAATATACCACCGTTTTTTTTATTTATTTTTTCACATTTAAGAGAAAATCGGAAAAGATTCTGATCACTTTTCAAGCGCCCTCCAACCCGGAAGTCGTGACGCCAATCACTGCAGCATGTACACCAATATTTTGGAATGAAATTGTAAGCAAACAGATATTAAAAGTAAAACAAGTGAAGTCTGGCAGTTAACTTAGCTCGCGACTCGAGAATGGCTGAACGGAAAAGACTCCTCCTCCAGCTGCTGCCGCAGTCGGCCCGTCTTCATCATCCACTCAGAGTACCACTGGTAAGCGCACACAGACTTTGTAGCTTGTCCGGTCAGTTAAAAATATTAATTGTGAAATCCGTGTTGTAATCGGAAGCATACAAGCTAGTTAGCTTGAAAAGTAAATAAAGTTTCAGACGTGCTGCGTGATGATGTGTTCAGATTGGCTCAGTAAAATGACAATTAGGTTATCATGATGCGTTCAAGTGTAACGTAAAGAAAACAGGAAATTTTGTTTTTGGCGAGAAACATGAGTAATACAGTTGTATATTGCTCTATATATAATTAAACTACTGATGCCAACATTTATTAAAAATTACATTTAATTTAAAATACAATTATTTATTTGTTAAATATTTTCCTAATCACTAAAAACATGATGAAAAGTGACAGTAGACAATACATTAACCAACAATTGTGAAAATATATTCTAGTTAGTTTTATGTCATTTCGAAGTGGCCTATTACATTAGCCATGTTTATTGAAGGCTAGAAACATTTTTGTTATGCTCACTTGTTAAGCAATAGAAGCAATACCAGTTCTGTTAATAAAATTTTGTTGCATCGTCTTTCCACCAAATAACAGAAAAGTATCGATAGTGGTATCGATAAAGACTCGGATCGATAAGGAGTATCGATAAAGGTATCGATATCAATAAATATTAACGATCCCCATCCCTAATGTTGACATCATTTTTTTCTCAGAATTATGTGCTATATTATTAGCTTGAGAATGGGTAGAAGATACTAATATAAATAAAATATTTTGTAGTGATTATCTGCATTGAGTATTCAAAAGGGATGTACAAATAATCATCAAAATATATGAAGTTATGGCTGTTCATCATAGAATATGTGAACAAAAAAAAAACAACTTCAAACTTTTAATTTTGTAATGGTATTCATAAAAGCACTTTTGTTTGTAGAGGGTTAATCCTTTCTTTAATCACTAATCAATGTCAGAAATCAGGGTAAATATACCTGATCTATTTTATTTAGAGGAAAATTTTGTTTATCTCATTTCTATTTATGTTCAAATGATTTAATTGAACTGGAACAGAAAATGTAATTTAATGTTTATCAATTACTTTTTTATGTAGTCCTTGGTTGAGGAATTTCTTAAATTTATTATTTTTTATTGTTATTTGGTAATTTCTGAAATTGATTTATTTAATATTTGTTTAATGTGTGTTAAATTTGTTAATTGTCTGAAATAAATTCATTCAATGATTCAATCCAGTTTTTTAGTTATACTTTACCTAAGTGTCCTTACAGATGGTTAAAAGTGTTTTTGCACAGTCCTAACTTTGAGTGTGTAATAAATTATTTAAAATAATAAAAAAGAAAAGGTACGGAAACCTATTCTGGTATTTGTCTATGCATCACTCCATGCTAAGTTACAGTTTTTTCTGAATGCTTAAACACAACCTTGATTCTTATAGCACAATTTCTAAAACTATTAATACTTATAGCAAATCCACTCACTGAGTTCACAAAACTAAAAGAACAAACACTGCTTTGCACTCAATTTGCAATTTTGTAACACACACTTTGCACAACTGTAGGCACAATTCACCACACAGCACTCTTTGTGGAACTGTAAACACAACTCAATGAAGCACTAAACAGATGCTGAAAACAGTACTGGTATTTCGCACGGCAAAAGTGAGGGGGGGGTGGGGGGGGGGGTGGCGCAAAACTCAATCTCGCCTACATTTTTATTTAAATAGTTATCTATGAATAATTCTTCACTGAATACTCCTATATGACTTGCAGAGAGAAATAATTTCTCTTTACCCCATATAACACAAAATGTAGTACTGAAAAGAGCATGAATTCTGTACTTATCATCTTTAATGTCAGTACATTGATGTGCTTAATTAACCACAGTATTTTGTTGTCAAGTAAATTTTAATATATATAAAAATGTTTAGAATATTTCTCTTTAGAGTATTGCTGTTGCACCATCTGTATTAGAGGGGAAAAAATGGTAGGGTGGCCTTTTTTGGCCTAAATGATGCATAATAACTAATCAGAGAAAATAGGTCAATTTTCTTCTTTTGCTCACTGTTTTGATCGAAAAACATAAGGAAATACTTACTTGGTCTAGGTTTGTTCTAGATTAAAACAGATTATATAGGTTTGAATGAACAGAAGTTCTGCACAAGCAGCTGAATATCTCCAGAGCTCTGGTACTCAGAGCAGAAAGATGATTTAAGGTCTGATGTCTGTGAAAGCTATAGGAGTACAGGGAAGCCATTGTCATCAAAGGGAAATCAGTTGAAAATAATCTATGAATGACATGCTGCATTTACATTTTCCCAAACCATACTTCAATCTTACTTATTATTAAGGTTGATCAATGTTTCTTTATTGATATTGATTAAATTTGAGCTTTTCTTTCATTGTTATTTTAACATATGTTATATTTGTCATGGTGCATTTGTAAAAACTTTTTTTTTTTTCAAGTCTCATTCTTTTAAGCACATACCTAAACACAGACGACAAGTTTGTTTTGTGGGGAGTGCAAATGCAACATTAGTTTCAAGATCTTCCCCACAGACTTCCTCTGTGGCTGGTTCGATAGCCAACTATGTCATTAGCCGAGATACGTATTAGAAAAAATTTGTTGTTGTTTTAATATCGAAGGGGGTTAAGGATATTTTATAAAGTTTTCTTTATTTTCTTTTTAGCGTGTTTATCAGGGTCTTTTACGCCGTCGTTTATTCAGCCATTCTTCTTGAGCTTTTTGGCATGAAATATGTAGAAACTTTTGAATTTGCTTCTCTGTTATAAGTAGAACGCCACTGGTCTGTTTTAACATTTATACTGTGTCACCATCAACAGTTAGAATCTCTGCCCCTTTAACCATTCTCCACGAAAATGTTTTCCTCTTAATTTTCTTACTGTCCTTATTCTTTACATACACACAGGTAAGACTCTGCATTCGTATATTTCTGTGAATGTCATTAAATATTTTTCCCTGTTCACTAAAAGAGTATTATCTGTTAGAGCTATGGTAAGGTATGCTTACATGACTAACCCAGCTTCCGGTAGCTGCTGTCGCTGCTCTGGCCACAGAGGAGCTCATTTATTTCCTGCCCAATTATCAGTTTCTGTCATAAGTGACAGAGGGTGGGCTGGAGAGAGATTATATTTTACTATTGCATTAATCATACTTCCATGCACACTTAATAATAAATCATGGAGCAGGTGACATTAATCCTGAAGAACTAGCCTTTTGAACATTTTAAAACCAAATTTCTTGGTTGTGGCAGAGTTGGATAAAGTCAGTTTAATGTTAGCATTAGCCATCAATGTCTGATTAAACTATGAATAAAAAAAAAAATGCAATTTTGCAAAATGCATTTTTTTTTTTTTATTATTCATAGTTTAATTAGACATTGATGGCGTAACCTATATGGTAAAGTCAAATATGCATTTTATTTTGCAGCATTTGGCACCAGATAACTGTCCAGATTTGTTGCTTTGAGGAACCAGAGGAGCAAAACAATCTAAAATTAATATGGAGTTGTAGCTCTTTATAACAATAATGCTCCCTTATTCAGAAAGACACATATTTTTTCAATAGATATTAATTATATCAACCCATTTTTAGGGCTTGCTTTGTCATTTCACTATAATTAGGTGCAGGAAACCTTCCAGCAGTCATCATGGAGGTGGGGCCAGATGTTTGGAGCATCACATGACCAAGCATAGAAATACAAAGTATTTACAGAGTAATTTCAAAAGCCTTTAAGCATAGGATCCTGATTACCTTTTTGGAAACGATTCTGTATTAAAAGTTATACCATGGCTAATTCCTCTTCTACAATAACTCCTTTATTTTCATTTTTTAATTCAAGGTATTGATTTGTTTTATAAGGCTGCAGAATAAGGGGAATTTATACATTTGAGGTATTCTAGACAAATTATATCATGATATCTATCATGATATAATTTCAGATAAATGTAGAATATCCACACTCCTTTTTACTTACTGGGTACTTAATGCATCCAACATCCTTTTAGTAAGGAATAAATATGGCAAATTACAAAGTACAAATGATTGACATTTTATATACATTATTAATTTGACAAGCAACTTAATGCTGCATAACTAAATGGAATTAATTTAAATGTTGACAGAAAATGTAACAAAAGGGTGAATTTCTGCCCTTATATCTGTGCTCATTCGCAAGACTTTTGAACTTTGCTCAAACTTGAATTACAATGGCAATAAGTTGGTAATATACTGTGAAGCCCTAGTTTCTAGTAATTTCCACAAATATCCATCTTAAAAAAATAGTTATGTTGCTAGTTATTGTCATGAAAAGATGTAGCAGCCTTACATTTTGATTTCCATCATTGTTGTATCTAATTTTATCCTTTTTTAATACTCTTTACAGGTAACCCACAAATGTGCTTATCTAGACATTTCTTCCATCAAATAACTTCTCCAATCATTGCCAGTCTATTCTTTACTGACTTACATTTCATAATGTAAGTCATATCACTACCCCAATTGTTATTTCATCGACCCGCATTTCTAAAAACATCCCATCTTATTTTGAAAAATAAAACAAGAACATTCAATTTGGGTTGTCCAATTTTAGTTATTGCTTTTTCCCACAACAAATTTAATTAAAAAGTTATAAAAAGTTAATAATCCATAGATGTAAAGCTAAACAATGTACAAATAGGAAATACACAAAAATAATCAGAAACTCAGCTTATACAAAAATACTCTTAAGAGCGGAACTGCAAATACCATTTCATCATCGATGTTCAATCTCTCAATAAATGTGGTGTTACATATTAATAGTTTAACCCAGTTTTGAAGAAGAGCTTATCTTTAATGACAAACTTTTGCAAAAACAATTTTTGGTATAAATTGTCACAAAACATAAGTTTCTTTCACACTAGAGATAGAATCACATTTGCTTACTCTCGGCACTTTTACAAATGTTTGAGATGTATTTGTTTAATTGTTACTCTATTCCATTATGGATAACAGTTTTTTGAATTGGGCTAATTAATATTTCATGTTAGTTAACTAGTTTATTTTTGCACTTTTTCTTTTAAAAGTATAGTGGACGATCTTTTATTTTTTGGGTGGATTATCAAGTAAGTGGTCCTCCTAATTGTCAATCATTCTGGTGATATGTTTACTTAAGGCCATCCTACGTGCTAGTCCCAAGTTACCTATCTTTTTCTGCGCATGCGCACATTCAGGCATATATGTGTGGTGAGCTAAGGTGTCAGCCAGTCAGTGAAGCTCACCTTTCTCACTGCACTTTTTTGAAAATGGCAGATGGTTGTAAGAGAAAATGCATCTAAAAAGTGTATGAGAAGAAAAGCCTTGGAAGAGGCAGATATATCCCAGAATGCTTTGCGCTGAAAGCTCTCCTTGCAAAGCATTATGGGATTTACTGTCACAGTGGCCTGCAGTCGCCATAGGCTCTCGCTATCAGACAGAGGTGACTAATAACAAAGATGGCGTAGGCACCTCGCAGTGGAGGAGGAGTTACGTGACCAACAGGGAGCAAAAAGCAGTGATCATCTGTCCAAACGATTATTTAACTGAGTTTGCTATAAAGTCCACTATATAGTCCCCGCTCTATATAGTGATTGAAGGATTTAGGGGTAAGCTTGTATGAGCTTGTATGAGCTATGAGAACAGCAACTTTTAAACAGAGCGTACACAAGGAGAAATGGGCATGTGCATCGTCTCAAACGCATTTACCCGCTCTTGGGAGCGGGTACAGGGTTGAGCATATACATTTTTTTTTTTAAAGAGGGCCAGTCTTTTAAAAAATTCACAAAAATCCTCCACAATACCTTTAAGATAAGTTTACAAACTGATAAGTTATTTGATAATCCTTTCAAGACATTTCTGGTAGTTAATAAAGACAACTATTATTTAAAGCTGGTCAAAACTCATCCAAGCTTTTTACTCTAAATTATGCAAAGTACTTTAGCCAAAAAAAAGTATATAAATCAAAATGTATGGTCACTGATTAATATAATATACTAATCAGAATGTGTATTTTTCTGTGTCTAGAGCATTTACCATAATTAAGGGTTACACAGCAAAAACTCTGAGTTTTTGCTGTTTTGTTTTTAGTTAATATATCTGTTATTATTCACATTATTTATTTCCATTTGGGGTTAATAAAGTATTTTTGATTTTAATTAACTCCTAGGGGTAAAATGACAACTATTCAACTAACGCATAGCTATTTAATGCAAAATAGTAGTGATTTACTATTTATATATAATGATATTTGTAATCAGGTTATTCTAAAAAAAATTTTGTTATTTAGCTTCTTCTTGATATATAGTTTTAAAGTTTATTCTGTCAACATGTTTGCATCCCAATAAAGGAAAAGTGCAGTTTCAGAGAGATTAAACCACAGGAAGCTGAATTTTGACAGTGTAAGTTCAGTTAAGGAAATGTGCTGGATGACTAGGCAAACATTTTGTGCTTGGTTCACAAAACAAACAGGCCTGATGTGCACAGAAAGCAGTTACATATTTTCGTGTCTAACAAATGTCTGCCCATTTTTATAGTTTGTCCAAACTGCATACTGAAAACTGCTACATACTGTACAAGGATGACAAAGAGTCTTTCAGGTTTGAAGGAGATTAACAGGCAAAACTTGACTCTGGTGTACATTGTCTGGCATGGGAGGTGTCATTGTGTGACTGTCGGGTGGTGTGGACCATTTGTGACATCTCCAGTTGTGTTGATGTCACTTTGGGCGAATCTTTGGTAGCTTTGCATAATGTGGTCTTCAGCTTTCTTCTAAACACCCGACACAGGAAGATGTAAATAAGTGGGTCAAGACATATATTAGTTGTTGACAGCCACAGTGTGGTTTCCTTGGCAATGTAGAGCGCGTTCTCTGCCCGGCAATGAGTGGTGCTGCGGGTTTGAGTTAGTGTATATGGGACCCGTGCAAAATGATAAGGGGCAAAGCAAATAAAAAACACACCCACTACCACGAAAACCTTCGCTTTGGTTCTTCGATTTGCAACCTGAGACTTGCTCCTTGAGGCTTTGTATGACTCATAGACCTTCTTGCTGATGAACGTGTAGCAAAACACCATCAAGGCAAGCGTGCCCCAAAATATGACCTAAAATACACATAAAAGAGTTATGAAGCAAAAGAAATAATTTGTAGTCACATTTGTATAATAGAGTTATTGTGATTCAACTGTTACAAAAAGTAGTTCTCAGGCTATGCAGTTTTAATTCTTTTTTTTTGGAAAAAAAATGTGGATGTTCTTTGTTAAAGATGGGATGGTTAATACCCCACCTATGCACCAAGTTGAAAGTCTTTTAAAAAGTCCCTGCACAAATATGGATGTAATCCACAGTTTTATACCCTTAAAAATGTTATATTTAAAATAATAATTGTTTATATGATGGTTACCTGACAGAAATAGTTGAATCCCTCATGCCACAATAGGCCCTCTTTGCTCTTCATGGAGGAGCACTTGAGTTTCCCTCCCGAGATTTTAGGGGGCTTGTTGCTGAGAATGATGTTGGGGAGTGCAAGAGATAACATTACGACCCATATAGCTGCACTCAGCATTTGGCCGACCCGAACCTTCTGCAGAGCACATCTTCCGAAAGGCTTTACGATCTTCAAGTAGCGGTCCAAGCTGATGAGGCCGAGCAACAGAATGCTGATATACATGGTAATGTAGAAGAGCACAGCAGAGTATCTGCAATAGAAGGCACGTAGCTGCCAAAAACCAACCCCTGCATCACTCAAGATTCTTATCGGGATGGTGAGAGTCATCAGCAAGTCAGCAACCACCTGTTGGTAAGGCACGAGATGTAAGGTTTTCAGTTATCATCGTTTCCATTCAGTCTTCGTTGATAGTGATTTATGGTCTAAAGTAAGAGCTTACCACATTTTTTAAAAAGACCACAAATGTTGTGGTGCTGGGTATGCTGAAGAAGATCACTGCAGCCAGGGAGTTCAGCACCAGGGCAACTACACAAAGGATAGTGTAGAGACCAGGGAAAACCACTGATGTCACACTTGTATCTCTAATACACTTAACGGATGTGTTCAATAGCGTGCTGTTCATCTTCAGGTTCTCCGTGGGACCTTTAAAAAATATAAACACATTTCTAAGGATGTTTTTAAGTGATGATAAGAACCTCATTTCAATATCGGATACACTTATAGAATAAGCAAGCACTCCTTATTTCTGGGAATTATTTTATGTACTAGTTAACCTTGCATTTGAGACTAACAGTATTATGTGGTCAGCTTGCCACTTCTCCATTTTTTCCCATTTAGCATTGATCCAGTTTCATCTGGTCCTACCGCCAGCTTTAACTTTTTAAACAACCCCATATGTAATTACTTAAACCGTGATGTTTTGGTTTATGTTATTTTTAATAGCGTCTATACAAATTATATATTGTGTAAGAAAGTCTTGAACATTTTGTGGAATCCTAAGCAATCTGCATTAATGTTGCTAAAATTAAATATTGACATCACATTACCACATTCCTAGTTGTAGACTGCATGCAAAGTATAGAGAAAAGCCTGTGTATGAATGTCCGACCAAACCCCCCAATTACTATATAGAGTGGGGACCATATAGTGGACTTTATAATGAACTCAGTTAACTGTTAAGACAGATGATCACTCCTTTTCGCTTCCCATTGATCACGTGACTCTGGTTCCCCGCTGAATGAATTGCAATCCCAAGTGGTCTTTTTTTCTCTCTCATCCTCAAAACAAATCAGGTGATGCTTTCTGGTATAAATGCAATCTGAGATATATCTACTTGCCAAGTGATCACTGATGATCACTACTTTTCAAGGTCCAATGTGGGAAATTTTGAGTCCACTACTTTTTCATCCACCATACACCCATATAAAGTGGCGTAACCCCTATATAGTGCTCTACATAGGGGTCAGGGCGGACGTTTGGACACAGCAGAATACGTTAACAAATTTGTTGTCCTTTCCGACAACACATTCCCTGGTAGATACAAAGTAAAAGATCAGAAGCAATCGCCAGCCATCAGTTGGGGTCACATTTTGCACATCCACGAATGAAATGACAATAACTACAAAAGTACAAAATGGTAAAGGGGTGAAATGACTTGGACCCCAGGATGACTTTGTAGCATTTTTTGAAATAGAGCAACTTTGAGTGAAAGTAGAAAACATTTTTTGGAGTTCTATGTTCTAGCTGTTTTTTATCACTGTGGTAAAATGTGTGAATTGCTTATTGCTATCAGTACAACATGCAAGGAAATAACCCTCAGCACTCTAATGCCGCTATTCTCAAAGTAGAGAACTAACATTTTCTTGAAGTGTGATTGTATTTGCACTTGATTTGAGCAGTCAAGTAACATGATCTACCAATTAAATCAGATTTTGGTCCTTCAAAAAAAAAAGAAATAACTTACATTACCTTAGTTCAAGTGTTGTCTATAATGATGTTATGTAAGGGTCAGCTAGTAATTGGCAGAAAAAATTACTTACCTGCTCAAAAGGACAAATACAATAATTTTATGAGACATTTACTTAAAAGATCAATTGTTATAATCCCTTTGAACAGATGCAAGATGGCAAAAACTAAAAAGAAAAAGACATTCTCCATATGAATCTATCATTTTAAAAGAAGAAGAATATTAAGTCACAACAGCATTTTCTGAATAAAAAAAGCAGTTCTTTTTACAGAATTAACAGAAATTAATGTTAACAAAGCACTTTTTTTTCTTTTAAACTGCAAGGAATTCTCATTCATTCTATCTTTAAATTGGCTTTTAAACCAGTACTTCCGTGATGCACAGAGAGCATTTTTAAAGCCAAATGTGAGTGTAGTGACCACCTGTCTATCCTGTTTTCAAACATTTGTTAGTCTAAACTTGCGCTTGTTCTTTGCAACACAGTTTTTGAACCTGAGATTTCAGTTGAATTAACTTAAGTCAGAAAAGTCTTACCTTTTGTTTTGTCAGCAGACAATAAAATAATAACGAGAGCAGTAAGAAGTACAGGATTTGACCAAAAAAGTGAAGTGAAATTTCTAATTCTCTTTTCTCTTTCACCCCAAATTAGAAATGCAAGAATGCTGAAACAAAAGAAAAAAGAAAGCTAAAAAATAAAAGTATGAAAACCTATAATAAACTCTGATGTGTGCTGTTTTTATCAGAAAAAAATACTCTCTGACATATGGAACAAGCCTGCCTGTCTTTCTTAACGTTTCCCTTCTGTTTTTCTGCCTTTAACAGTGTGTGACTGTGTGTTTGTGTGTTTGTGTGCGGTAGTTTTACAATGGTTGGACTCTGGAGTTATTGTGGGGCTGTCTTGTCACAGTCCCAATGAGTTAGCTAGTCTTCCTCCGGGTGAAAGCCCCTTTCCTTCCTTGCTTCCTGTTCCAATTGTCTGCTGAGAGGCTTGTTCTACTTCGTGCCAGTCCCTTTGCCTCTCTCAGTCTCCTTAGCTGCTGTACGTCGGATGCCAAAGACATGAAAATTTTTTCAGACTAAAGGGTTGAGACCTCCTGCACAAAGTTGCACCTCCCATTAACCACAGTGTATGCTCATGTTAGACTAAAAAAAGTCCTCAGCAGCAGAATAACATTTAAACTGTCTCAAACACATTTCCTTGTTTTCTTAAGACCAGAACAGATAAACTAATTCACATAGCCAAATGTTTAATAATTTTAAATGATTTTGTTTTGCAATCTAATTTTTTAAATCTCCTATCACTAGTGACAAATGCTGTACATACCTGTTATTGCCCAGTATTCAAATCAAGTTTAGCTTTCAGATCTAAGTTTCCTGATGTGTTGGAAATACAAGACGTTCTTTCTGAGAATTTCCCAAAATGACTTCCTGTGTGATTTTCTTGGATTAGAGCCAGGAATTATGACTGAAGGAAAGACCATGTGTGAGAGATAGGATGAGTGTCACTAGGGCCATTTCCTCTAGTGAAAGTTGCCCCTTATATAAAGCCTAGAGAACTGTGAACCATATCTATATGTCTTTTTTTTTTTTTACATACCCAAATTTTGAGTTTTAACATCTAAAAGGTGATTTGAAATCCACAAAACACATCTTAAAATCAAGATGGAGATTCATCATAGGGTTTATAGAGTTTATTGGGTTTGTAAAACATGCTCCTTCCACCATGCTTATATGATATATATAGCTTTAAAAGAAAAAGTTTTCAATTCAGTGAAGCCAAAGCAGAAGTCATATTGCACACAACCGTTACATCTTGCAGTAAACCATGCAAAAAACATTGTGTATTAAAAGAAAAAAACAGTTCACTTTGAAATCTCAAACAAGAAAATGTTGTAAAATATAGAATTACATAAACATGACAAACAACTAACCTGATATGACATACAAACTGCATTTATACTTAAGTTAATGTACTATTTCTATTCAAGGTGAAGTAAATTACTTATTACATTGCTGCAAATCTGTCTTGTGTTTCAATGGCTTATGAAAACATGCTTTAGATTAAAAAAAGCTCTAATATTGTTTTTCTAACCCTCTGGTGATGAAGCACATGTGATTTTATCTCCAGCTAAGCCAGGCTAAATGAATGTTGCAACTTAGGGATGCTTTATGTACAGCAAATTAAAATCTCTGCTAGCTAATTTATGAAAAGGAAACAGTGAAACAGAGATATTATAACATGATAACTTCTACAGACCCTTTGTCTTATCCAATGAAGATTCACCCAACTTAGACTGGTGAAATCAGATCAATTTTCTCATTAAATCAGCATTTTATAATTTGACCATGTAATATAATTCATATACTGGTTATATTGGTATATATAATAACTGTAATATATTTAGTTGATTTTGACAGAATTTAAAACAACTTTCCAGTGATTTCAACCAAACGTAACAGAGGAATCGCAACCACAAGTGCATCAACAGGTTATTTTGACTTACACCATATGCCATTTATGTTAGTGTACAGTTACACTGTGTAGTCAGCTCCAAACATTAAATTCAAAGTGTTTACAGTTCTAATGATGTCCAAAATAGCTCTGACATGCACTTGACATCTAGAATGCATGGACATCAAACACGTTACTAGACTTAAAGCTCTCAAAATTGTGGGTTGTTTATTAGAACATATAAAATGGGCATTTTTTTAATGTAGATTTTCCCCCTCCTATCAAAGATTCACTGTATGTAACAGTGCAGAACTCCTCATAATAAATAAGCCAAAAACTGAAGTTTCATAAGCTGCTCCTATTTCCTTCTCTTTTAGACCAATGTAAAACAAGTCAGTGGTGCAGACACATATTTGACTACATCTTTAATGAGGTCAAGACTTTTGGATTTTTGGCTTTTTTGTCACTTTGAAAGATATCAACCCATTTTTTTGTCATTGACATTAGTTTCTCCTTGAACTCTCGACAAAGGAAGACATAGAGCAGTGGGTCCATGCAGATATTGGTGGTAGCGAGCCAGTGGGTCAGTTCCTTGGCAAATTGTAAATGATCATATGTCTGAAAGCAGTCTGTGGAAGAGTAGCTGACTTGCTGGGAAGTGTATGGGATCCTAATGATGTGGTATGGAGCAAATGAGATGAAAAACACTATAATGACAAGAAAAACACGTAGTTTGATTTTCTGCTTTCCCTGGCTGTTATTACTACCGGAGTTCCTGTAGGACTGGATGACTCTGTTTGCGATGCAGATGTAGCAAACTACGATGACCACACTAACAAACCAAAAGAATATATTCATGAGGAGGGATGTTGCTTCATGGAATGCTACTCCTGCTGGTCCTTTCAGAACCATGCATGTAGTGATAACTGATGTATTGTTTAATGTTTTGTTTGTAAGAATGATATTCGGCAAACCTGTACCTATAAAAAGAACCAACCAGACTGTGGCAGATACCACTTTGCTCATCGTCAGACTTTGCCCAGAGAGCCTGCTGTGCGGCATCATGATCTTAAAGAAACGTTCGAGACTAATTAATCCCAACAGAGCGATACATGTGTACTGTGCATTGTAGAAAATCACAGCAAAAAAACGGCAGGTTGGTCCAGATAATTGTTCCCATGTGTCAGGTAAGTCCCCTGCAGCTTTGATTGGTATCATGAGGGTCATAATTATGTCAGCAGCTACTAGATTTTTCAGGTATACCACAAAAGTGGAGGTAGACTTTAGATGTACAGACACCCATGCTGCTACAACATTCAACAACAAGGCTATTGGGAACATCAGAAAGAAGAGACTTGGGACTATGTATGGGTTGTACAAAAATCTGTCACACTGCGATTGATTCTGAGACATATGCAGGGATGGGTCCAGTGCATCTAAGGAAAATAAAGACAAAGATAAAAAGTAAAAAATTCAATGGAAAATTATTGTTGGTAATTTGATTATTATTGTATTTTAACAAGCAAGTGAAAACATACAACTCCTAACTGTACTCACATTGTTGGTTAGGATTCATTTGTGTATCCAAATAATCTGTCATTGTCCGATTATTATTCAATGCAGCTTTACACTGAAAGAAAAAACAAAACAATAAAACCCCAAAAGAGTTTAGCTACCAGTTAACTGTGTCATAATGTTTTTTTTTTTACTAGTATGTTAATACATATAACCATTAAAAACAACAATAATAATTTTGTGTTCCGTTAAGGTTTATTACCGCCAACACCAAGTTTGGCTAAATTACCTCTTTTGTCCTTTCAGCCATTAAAACAAACGTGTGTGTTTTTTGTCCCTATTTAACCAACCGTCAGACCAGTTATTAGTGCCTTTGCTGAAAAGTATTACACCATTCCTGTATTCTGATTGCCTGTTTCTGATGTGTTCTGCCTCTCGACCTCTGAGCCTGCATTTCCCTGTCTGATCTGTTTTCCTAAACTTAGTCTTCTGACTCCTGCCAGATCTCTGTCTGCCTGTGTACCGAACCTGGAACTATTACCGACTCAGTTTTGGATTCTCCGTCGTCCCCTCTTTGTATCTCTGACCTCCTGGCTCTGACTACTGAGCATAAACATTAGCATTGGCTTCACCCTCTGCTTTTGTCTGCTGGGTCTAATCCTTTGCCTTTTCTCCAACCACAGAAACATCAGTGTCTGGGACATTCTCAGCAGCAACCTCTGCGTTGAGTTGGCAGTTGACCGGCTGGAACCAACTTCCCCCTCTGGGCTCGGACTGAACAATAAGACCAGGTTAGTGACTCACACATTCCTTATCACCCACCTCCAGAAAGATGTGGTCACTAACATGTTGTCTCCTCCTGCAGAGAATTCTGCCTTGGACATTGATGCTATTCACTTTGGTTCAGTTCCCAATAAACATTTTGAGAAATCTAGCTGTTTTTCTTCCTTTAATAGTGGGTCCTATTGGTCTGAGCTTGACATGCATTTTATTAATAAATGTTGAAACACATCACCACAATGGGTGAAAATAATTGTGAGGAGCTTTGAAATATTAAACTTCAAAACCCACAGCAAAAGTTCAGCACAAAATACTGTTCTGACTGAACGATCACTTTTCAGTCAGAAAACATTCAGTATGTTTGCCTATCAGCATCAAGCAGCTAGCTTCACAACCCGCCCCAGCTCCATAGTCAAAATACGTCACTTAGAAGTGATGTATTTTTGCTTTTCTCGCTACTAAATTCTATAGAAGAAGCTCTAATCTCAACAGGGATTTCTCATAGTCTGACATTTATCAAGCAGTTATTGTGTGTAGTATCTTGTTTACAAGAATGCATATACTTCCATGTAAACAGCTGTCATTCATGGCTTAACCCCAAACCGTGTAGGAAAGCGCAGCATAGTATTGAACCAAATGGTGGAAAGCTCGTATAGCAGATCAAATTATTCTTTTAAAAAAATGTATATGCAAAAAATAAAGTTCTCTTGCGACCAGCATTATAAAGTTATGAACTAATTACTTCTTTAAATTACACTTCCCTCCAAAAGGTAATTCTGTTTTGCTATGTGTTTAATTTTTGCAAATATGCCCAAAAAAGGCATTGGGTGAGAGGGTTGGGGTAACTGTGACAGAGGTAGAGATGGTGTTGCTTGTCACACATCTGTGCTGTTGTTTGGATCTTTAGACAGTGCTAAATAGCCCACCTAGTGGTGAGAAATAATTGCCTTGATAGCTTCGATAATTTAACTAAATTAGTTATCTGTTGATCCCCTTTCAATGGGCTCACCACCTTTTGGAGGGGCCAAAAGGGTCGGGTGTATTGTGTAATGAGTGCCAGTTGAGGACAAGGACCTTAGCATTCTGATCCTCGGCAGAAGAAGCTGGCTTTTAGGATGTGAAATGTCACCTCTCTGGTGGGGAAGGAGCTGGAGCTTGTGCGCAAGGTTAAGAGGTCTCTGGCTTTAGATAGTCAGACTTACCTTGCACATAACTCTGGCTCCGGAACCAAACTCCTTGAGAGAGGCTGGTCAGCAGTTCAGATTACTCACCTTTTTGAGTCCTTGGAGGGGGTACTGGACAGTGCTCCTCCTGGGGACTCCCTTGTTATTCTGGGGGACATCAGCACTCACATGGGCAATGACAGTGAGACGTGGGGTGGCATGGTTGGGAGGAATAGCACACCTGATCTGAACTCGAGTGGTGTTCTGTTGTTTGACCTCTCGTCATGGATTGTCCATAATGAACACCATGTTCGAGCATAAGGGTGTATGTGCTCTTGACACCAGGACACCCTGAGTCGTAGTACAGTGATTGATTTTGTTGCTGTTTCATCTGACCTATGGCCAGATGTCTTGGACACTCGGGTGAAGAGAGGGGTGGACCTCTCTACCGACCACTACCTAGTGGTGAGCCCAAACATTTAAATGTTTCTGTTTATGCATTTAGTAGATGCTTTTATCCAAAGCGACTTACAAAGGCATTAGCGTGACCCACACTTAGGCATCTTGCCTAAGGACCCAAACTGGCAACTCTTTCCCCCCAGGAGGGATTCAAATCCCTGTTTGCAAGTCGGATGACTGACCACTTGAGCTAGCCAGCCGAGAGTGCTCCTGGTATTGTGAGAGTTTGCTGCAAACTTCTGGCAGAGAGCGGGAGCTCTGAATACGTTCAGAGGGAGGTGGGGGACATTGAGTGTGAGTGGACCATGTTCCAGGCCTCTATTGTTGAGGTGGATAGTTGAAGCCGTGGCCGCAAGGTTGTTGGCATATGTCACAGCGGCAACCCTTAAACATGCTAGTGAACACCAGTGGTGAGGCTGTCAAGCTGAAGAAGGAGTTCTATCAGGCTTTATTGGCATTGGAACTCTGGAAACAGCTGATGTGTACTCGCAGTCAAAGAAGCGGGCAACTCGGCTGGCTGCTTAGGCAAAAACAAGGGTGTAGGAAGAGTTAGGAGAGGCCATGGAGAAATACTTCCATACAGCATAAAAGCAATTCTGGGCCACTATCCGGCATCTCAGGAGGAGGAAGCAGTGCAGAACCAACACTGTTTGTAGTGGGAGTAGTGTGCTGCTGACCTTGACTCGGGACATCCTGTGTCGGTGGGTGGAATACTTCGATGACCACCACCAGCACATCTTCCATTAAGGAAGTGAGCCTGGGGACTCTGGGTCGGGTTCTCCCATCTCTGGTGCTGAGATTACCGAGGTGGTTAAAAAGCCCCAGATGTGGATGAGATTCGCCCTGAGTGCCTTAAGGCTTTAGATGTTGTGGGGCTGTGTTGGTTAATTCTGCAACATTGTGTGGATATCGGGGGCAATTCCCCAGGATTGTCAGATGGTGGTGGTTGTCCCCCTGTTTAAAAAGGGGGACTGGAGGGTGTGTTCCAACTATAGGGGAATCATAGTCTTAAAGGGTAGTTATAGTCCAGCAGCAGTGTGTCACATTGAGCTTGTCGCAGATATTTTTGATTTATACCCAATTTTGAAGCGTGGTCTGCGCTATGTTATTCCATGCCACAATGCAAGAGGGACTCACGAACTAGCTGTGGGTCTAGATATAGCCCAGGCAGTGAGGAAGTGGGGTCAAGTTTGGCGAAAAAGAGTGGGGATCCAGGTGGAAAAAGGGTCCCAGCGTTCTCGCGCACCTTGCTCTTTTGGCTGGTCCAACTTCAAGTATGGAACACTGTCTGCGCTCACCTACAATTTTGGAGAGGTGCACTAGAGTGTCTGTGGCAGGGGCAGGGGAACATTTGCAATAAACATTTCACTGCGACACACACACACACACACACACAGACGACCTGGTTTCTGAGTATAAATCAGCTTTTAAGCCTCCATGGTAAGGCCTATTACGGGGTTCTGGAAACGAGGCTCCATCAGATTGTTGGATCTTGGGTTCAGCTCTACACCCTCAGCCAGATGCCCCACCAGTCCCCAAGTGAACACACCCCAGTGTCTTAGGACAGAGAAAAAAAATATACTTTTTCATTACTTCTTGGAGCTAATATTATATGCTTGGTTTAGTTTTTAAATATTGAAATTTAGATCGGTGATTAATAGAACATATTTCTGTCCTAAGGTTACAACCACTGTTAACCACAAAGAACACATTGGCCCATCCTATATTTACAACTGGTACATCATGCTGATCAAAATTTGAGCATTTGTAGGTTTTTGGACAAATTGGTCAAATTGCTGTATTGGAAACAGAAACTTTGCTATTTTGAAGGAAAATTACTGGACTTTTTGTGACTTTAAGGCACCCTTTGGTGAATATATTATGCTTATTACACTTGGGTTAAGCAGCATGACAATGACTAGAAACACAGCAAGCTCGTTTTCCACAAAAAGCCCAAACAGGCTATTTAAGCATACATAGTTTAAGATGCAGTAGTTGACCCCTAAGTCCAGCTTAACCAAAGTAAAATAATTCTGCAAAGAGAAGAGCAATGTTTGTCTCCATGGAAAGCACAAAACAAACTTCTTTCTTGCCCCAAAAAGCTGTACAACTGGGTTGCTTTCAATATAACCCTCATCCTCCTTGTAGTGACTTGCCATTGACTTCTACTCGTATTTCTACTGCCTAACATGGACCCTTACCCTAACCATTACCAGCACATACCTAACCCTAAACCTCACCTGATGTATATTCATAACCTTGTCCTAAACTTAATCCCCGGTCCAAGAAGAGAATTTCTCCTTAAACAAACCAGTTGTTGGTGCCCACAAGTACTTATAAGTCTCCCAAAAAGAAGCCAATTTCTGGGAAATTATCCTCACCAGGTAACAAATAGATGGCCACAAACACATGCTCACAATAAACTAATATTAAAGCACTAACATATGAGTTTTACTACAATGAAACCAACAATGTCCTTAAAGAAACATTTTCTTAACTCATAAGAAAAAATAGACTTGTTTAGCTTCCAAGAAATACATTTTCTTTCATAGTAGATAAATTAGCCTTATTACTAGCCTCGACCATCCTGAAAGATACACATCTATCAAACAATAAGAAAAAGATATTTGTTGTCGTAGAAACTTACAGAGGTTGATTTCTTTTCTCAAGCACACATTTAAAGTGTGAAAACGTCTGAGAGTGAT